ATTGATACGTTGTCCTCAGTCAGTTTACTGCTCATTTTCTTCAGTTTTTGAAAGTTACGTTCTTTTCTGTATAGATATGAAGATCCATAAAGGCAATATCTAATGCTTACGACACATTCTCCCTCAACTTGTTCGCTTCTGTGATTTTGTCATCAACGAGAACTTTTATATTTTATCACTGCTCTAAGACATCGGAATTAATGTACTTCACATATTCTATTAATGAAACCAGTGTGAACAAATCTTGCATATATGATTTCGAATACCTTCAAATCCTCGATTTTTTGTTCATAAGGTGCGATTTTGATTTCAGATCGTATTCCAGTGCTTTCTGCTTCTCACTGGTCACTCCTGCTGTCCGAAAGTAATCGTATGAGTTCAGTAAGCTCTAACTGGACTTCAGTGAGATCTCTGCATTGTGAGTGAAAACTAGCAATCTTTTCTCTGAAACGCTTGCACTGAAATAAAGAAAAGCTAGTAGAAATTAATGAGATTAACAACGTTGGCTAAAAGATTGGACGCAGACAAGACAAGGAAACCACAACCACATTATAGCACAGTTGGAAAAACCACCACTCCCTTAAGTTCAGAATGCTCCATCGACTTCATCTCTACTTCATTTGGAAGTTTTTTCGTCTTTCCTCAACCCTTATTTTCAAGCTCCAAAAAATGCTCTTTTCTCGCAAACAAACAACTTCCTACAAGCTATAATGATTTTGATGGGGAACAAAAATTCATTATGTCAATATTATTCAATAAAAACTCTTCCAAAGTACTGAAAAACTGCACAGACTTCGTCACGTCCGGTTCACTTTAAGTTAAAAGGAAACACCATTCACAAGAAATCTTAAAATACCACTATCTGAAGATAAAATTCATGAAAAACCAAGTTTAACGGAATAACAACAAAAAAGTTTACTGGCCCTATCATTTCAAGTGACATAACCATGAATAAAAAAAGTGAAAAACTTCACGATTATATGAGGAACCTTTATAGAGCCTTATGAAAAAGTTTAAAACTCCTGTATAAAATAAGACAGAGCACTCACCTTCCTGAAATTCGATGTGGTCACCTGAAAATCGCTCAAATGTTATGACTTACACACTCAGCTTTGATGACATTTTTTGCAGATAACGCTGGAAGTGCTATGCATATACAGCAGGAAGGCGATGGGGAGGAGAGGAGGAGGAGGGATGCAAGACATAGGGCATTCCACTTATAGCACTTCCTTCCAAATAGCTAATTCTGCCGAACAAAAACATCTACCATGCCCTCTGTATCTGACACTCTGGGTACCATGTCGATTTTTTGCTTAAGACGAGGCGCTGTCGTTCGGCTGAAAGGGCGCGCTCAAATCACAGTGTTGTAGTTCTCTAATGACCTCAAAATTCACGTTGTGCGATGCAGTTGTACACCCTACACCTCCTTTCGAAAATGCTTCTGTATACTGCAGTGTGAAGCAGTGCCAATTCTTCGCTGCTAATGAATATAAATCCTTTACGAGTATTATAAAGCCATTAATCGTAGATGCTCTTAGAATAATGAAATAGAGTAGTATAGGAATAATCAGAGTGCGCACCCGTTACGTAGGTTTCAGCAAGTCGAGACACGGCGCTGCAATCAGTGGTACGATAACGGCCCACGCGGTACCCAATGTGTCACTCGACACCTCATTTAAAATAGATGTTATATCAAGAGCGGCTTGCAAAAAATTTCCCTCTTTGCCTTTTAACATACAAAAAAACTTCTTTTTCAAACAAATTCATTGAGAAATGGAGAGGTGCAATATGCAAAATAACTTTGAATTCTGACAGCATGCCGTTATTTAGTGGAGCACAGTGCCGTCCAGGAAACAGTAGTAAACTTACCTTGCATACCCCTAAAGCGACAAAGCATTCGCGTTCTCAATAATTATGTCATATCATCAACCCCTCAAGTTTTCTAGTTATCAAAAAATATCGCCTCCTTCTCAAATGTCGACTAATCTTCAAACATCATGAAATTAGTGTAGTCTTTTGCGAGTGTCAAGGATTATGTGTTGACCAATCGACAGGATCATCTATATGAGGGTACGGTAGCCAAAGCCAAATCCAAGCTCAAACGACAAGTCACATCAGAGAAATTCTAATAAAAAATCGACCTCAGAAGAACACTGCGGTTGTGCATAATTCTGACTGTCATATGAAATACAGTGCGTACACGCAACCTAAAAAAAAAATTTAGACACTGGATTTTAAATTACAGCCCCATTTCACGCACGAAATACATTCAAATGTGCGATTAACTAAAGCTTTCTTCACTACATAAACAATGTGGTTCCTGTCCAGTCATACTTGGATCCCCGATTGGACGGTATGAGCTACCCAAAGTCCATTCTCCTCATGATAGTATTATGGCGCGGGAAACCGTTTCCGACAAATCCCGTAATCGATCCATGATTAAGCTAACAAAGACGTGGCAGGCGAAGATACAAAATCTTTCCTAATCCTTTCATTGAATTGTGAAAACTTGACAAGCATTCAACTATTATTTCAGTTCTGATCATTATAAGAAAGAATACTCGCTCTATGGAACATGCATGTATTGAAAATTTTGAAGTAGACATGGGATAGTTTCGAATAGCAATAGCAATATCTCCTTTCAAAAGGTTGGTTAACGCAGTGATTGGTGATGCTGTGTATCAGGAAGTAAATGATAGACGATTCACTAGCTCAATATCCTCCTCCCCGTCCCCGAAAACTGTTCTGCAATCAATGCGTGAACGCTCACGAACGCCTACTTTGGGCTAACCCACAAGAATGCAAGTAAAACGCGGCTCGACAGCATTCTACGGCATTTATAGACAAAACCATAGACTCAAGTAGTAGCCGAAGCAATACGTGAGATATCTATGAAAAGAATTCAAATATTCAAACACAGCCTACGTCCAGACTCTTGTCGCCTTGTGGCATAATGGATAAGGCGTGAGACTTTGGATCCGAAGATTGCAGGTTCGAGTCCTGCCAGGGTAGGGACTTCTTGCAGTCTGGAAGTAAGTGTTCAGAGCATCTATCATAAATAGATGAACCTTTCTTAGAACCTTAACGGTGAATAAGTAGACCTTTACTGCATTGATTCATAGCTAATTGCTGAGATTTCTGTAGTATCAGAGCGCTTTCTTCTTCTACCACAACCTAATTGATCTGGTGATTTTCGCGGAAATGTAGTGCGGTCTGCAGTACACCACAACCATTCTCCACGTGGCCTTGTGGCCTAGTGGATAGGCGTCGGACTTTGGATTCGAAGGTTGCAGGTTCGAGTCCTAACAGGCTCGCGCACTTCGCTGTTTTTGACTCAGAAAGTCAGAGTAGTGGGTAAGAATAGTTAAGCCTTTTCAAGAACCCTACTGGTCACTTAGCCGCCTTTTACCACTTTTATTTGAAACTCCGCGCAATCAACTTCCTATTAGCCTCTTTAGCAAAGTTAATTATCGATATAATTAGGGAAACTTAGCTGTTAGCTGGCGCGAGGTTGGTAGACGACGTCGATGTTACCGTTGTTGATTGTTGTTAGTAGATTGCTGTACGGATAGATGGCTGACGTTTCGGCAACACCGCCTTCTTCGGAGCCCGGACGTACACTGGTATCACCATTTATTTGAGTTGTTAGCCAAATCGATGCCTAAGCACCGTCCCATGGATTAAGAAATATTCAGCGCATGTGAGGTCCCAAATCTCGGGTTACAGCGACGAATTCGTTTTTTACGGTTCGAAACGCTTCGAGAGTTTTGCGCGTCGATGTTCTTGATTTCCGCGCCAACGCGTGATAGTTACATCGAAATCAACATTGTTGTGCTTCTGCGTCCTATGTAAACCTAGACCTACGCCGATTTACTCCTCGCCTGATGCCTTACATATTATCAAATATATTTGCCGAAACTCATACAATTTCCCTTCTTCCCGTTATGGCAGATTTTACAGCCTTCTGAGTGACACAGTCGATCATGAATTCGGTTGCGAAGCAGTAGACGGCGCAGAGTTGGGGATGGGAGTTGGACTCATGTTGCCGAATTTTCAAGATCACTTCTTTTTAGGCATCTCTTAGTAGCGCAGCTAACTTTGTTTGATATAAAAAGGTACTTAAAAGCGATCTCAGTAAGGTGCAAGGGGTCAAAAATATCAACGGACGAAACTTTCGAAGAGTTTTGGATAAACGCTAAAAACCCAGAAATGATCCGTAAAGACGAATGCGTTACTGCAGCGCGAGATTTCGCACCTTACATGCGTTAAATATTGCTTGATTCATGGGACGGTGCTTAGGCATTGATTTGGCTACCAACTCAAACAAACAATGATAATAATGCACGTTTAGACTCTGAAGAAGGCCGAAACGTCAACCAGCTATTCGTACAGCGATCTACGATCAACAGTCAACAATGACGACACCAGCGTCGTCTACCAACCTCGCGCCAGCTAAACAGCTTAATTTTCGTGCATGAACTGATTTAAAACTGGTTTTCCTTAATCAGATTTTCGTGCTATAACAGTGCCTTCCAATTACTCCAATCGAAATAGTGGATGGTGTTGTAGGTCTAATGGACAAAGCATCGAAACTCGGGCCAAAACTCCTTAACGTTCGGTTTATTGAGTGCAAGAGAGAGCTGAAAGAGGGGATTGAATCAGTATTTTGCATGCTATAGTGAAAACTGTAATTGATAGAGCAAAAGTCTCGACCCTGGCAGGACTCGAACCTGCAATCTTCGGATCCGAAGTCCGACGCCTTATCCATTAGGCCACAAGGCCGTGGTAGTCGACTAGTCTATTTTTTATTTTCTCTACTCAACCTATTATAGCAATTTATTGAACGAATCCTAGCAGTTCTTGTATTCGAATAGTTTCTGAGCATTCATCCTCTGCGAGGGTTATCGAACATCTGAGGTGGTGTTTCGGTTACTACTGCTTAGAAATTTCGCATTCTTTATGAACGTTGCCAAATGCTGCTCGACACGATTCTCCTCGCTATATTGTAAAAAGACGAGCTAAGACGTTCGTTGATTGTTTGTAGAGTGTTGACAGTAGGGCAAAAAACCTGGCGCTTAATCACCTTGTTTCTGGAATATTGCATCACTGGCCATTGCGCTACCTCCATTCTCTGCAGATAATCAATTCATAGCGATATTGCTAATAGAAGGTGAAATCGACGCGTCTTTTCGGTAAACTGGATCTCAGCTGTGAAGCTTAGGAAGTTTATATTCCGATAATAAATTTCGGCTAATCACTTTATGATTCATCTTCAGCTTCAAGATTTTTCAAGGAATCTTTCTCAATACAGAAGTCATTTTTTTCAAAAATTGCAGCATCGGCGTTCGCAGTTGTGACCGATTCAACAAATAAGGCACACATCTCAGACTTTTAATGTTCATCAATCATATGCATAGTCATACATGTCGAAATCAATATGTGTGTTTTCCCTCCTGCTCTTTCAGCTGCTATTTTCAGTGCACAATTCTTCTTATACTTTTCAATATAATTCTATAAGTTTTCCAACACATGTGGTGAGTCTTTATTTTACACGAAAGTAATATACAAAGAATTTAATCTTCAATCGACAATTTTTGAACCTTGCTAAAAACATTCAATATAGTTTATGAGAATGTCTGAAGTATTTTTGATAAAGGTTGATAGGTCATTGGCTTGCGAACGTTTCAACGACATCGTCCGCCTCATCAGAGCCACCCGTCCTAGAATGGACTCTACTTGATAGCACGGATGGAGAGACAGTGTTTTGGTGATAGCACGTTATATTGTGTTGTTACTATTTCTGACACCATGCACAATATCACATATTGTCATCAAAACACGTCCAAGTCCTTGCTAGTAACTAGACTTCAGTGTGGGGGTGGGTGGCTCTGATGAGGCGGATAATACTGCCGTAACCCGCGTAAGTCATTGACGTATCAACTTCGAAAAGTCTTCAAACTTTCTCACAAACCATACGAAGAAAACTACTTTTCGATGAATTTGTCCATCATCTAGATCTCGTGGGATTTCCGACATCTCGACCGTAATTGTGTGCTGACATTCAAAAATCTAAGAATACGTCACTGCTATCATGAGATTATAAAGCACTAAAAAATATCAACACCGATGCTCCTCGAACCACGGCACAGATAATGAATGTCCGGACTTTTAACTTTACGTACTGCACAATTTTTTCTTCCATGTTAACAAACATAACCATAAGTGCTGATATACGAGGAAAACTTGAGGTGACTTTAAACCAGTGATTACTCAACCCGCATATGAATGAGACCAAAAATTCATTATCACCTAGCAGTGTAGAAATCTGACCAGATTAAGTATCATTCTTATGGCTTGACCTAATTTAGGCGACTCTGAACGAGTACACTTCATGCCACAGTAATTACTTCAGACACCATCGTCGTTACAACGGACGCATTCCTGAGTTGCAAACTTGTTCTGGAAATGCACTTCTTTGAATGTCAAAAATTAAGTATCTCTTGAGTTCCACATAGAGGTGACAACTTAGAAATTCCGGATGCCGCTTAAGGGCAAATCCGGAAAAAAAGGAGACGTACGATATTGCTTTCAATATAAGCATATTTACTAGAATTCACCATATTTACAATATCTGTCCTACCGGACAAATTCGCCACTGTCCTAGTTCTTCTTGTTATAATCTTTCCAATAATCCAGTTATAGAAAAAAGTTAATCAGGAAACCACCAAGTCATTAGCATTCTTCATGCTTCATATTAGGTTGGAAAGAAAGTTTTGGGCAATTATAAAAAAAAATCAAAAATTTGTGCATGGATTCCAAACAAAAACCACAATAACCATCCTTCGAAATAAACGCCATCAATTTCTACGACTTTCTGTCATCGGTCCGCCAAGTCTCGGATCTGCTTGAAGTAGACCATTTCTTCGACCTCGAATCAAGGAATTCTCGACAAGCTTCTTCAGCTTCATCGAACGATTCAAATAGGGGATCCTCCAAAAAGTGCTGCATTGATTGGAAAAGGCCAAAGCAAGTCCTTCCCCACTAAAGCGTTGAAACCAGCGTCCACCAAAACATTTGTTTGTTGTGCCTTTCCTTTCAACTTCGTTGATTCATCGACTGCAGCTCGCTGTAAAACACTATTACACCAATGATGACTCAAAAAATACGAGCTTCGACTGTATCATTGGACATGGCGGATGGCTGTAACGAAGTGAAAATCAAAACGAATCTAGACCTTCAGTGGGAAATTCTTTCATAAAACTCCAATATCCTCATGATATGTAATGGAGTTATCTCATGCGTATTAAAGTGTTCTAGAACTTTCTTTTCAACCGTAGTATCTAAAACGTATTATATGAACGACTCAAAGTTGAGTGAGTTACGACCGAGTTTTTTGCGATATTAGCTCTACAGTAAGATGTTGAATGTGACTTTGTTCTAAAATCTATGCGTACTTCAAAATCCTACTATCATCGTGAGAACACACTTCATCGCGCTTCCTCTGAATTACAAAAACGACGAAATTAAGGACTCAATCTTTACTCGTTGTTCTGAGACTGCACAAACATAGAAAGTTAAAGAACCTGTGGAAAGCAAAAGACACCCGTTACTGCCGATAGTTACTTGATAACAACGTAGCTTCTCTTCAGATTTTAATAGCAGTTATGTATCTAGTTTCCTGACATCTATAAATAAAAATCTCTTCATTATGAGGCAGTGAATGCAGGTTCCCAAACAAATAGTGAACATACCTCGTTGTTATCCAACACCACCATGAAACCCCCCCCACACAAAAAAAAAGAAAACAGGACCCCAAAAAAGGGTAGATTTTTTTCAAAAACTGTAGTTAATCACATGTATATGTATCTAAAAAGAAGATATTCATCACACTCTATACGTAAAACACCAGTTAAAAAATTACATTTGAAAAATTCCAGCGAGTCTACATCTGTGAAGAAATGTTGGTCAAAGTGACATAAACGAAATATGAGCTAAACTTCACTAAACAATAGGTAATGGTGTTGCTCACTCGACTAACTATTTACAAAATAGCAATTCTACCGCGGGTTTAAACTGCCTGAACGCAGTTTCCTGGAAAAAGCCCTGTCACTCCATTCAAAACACCCTCGAACCAGTCGTTCTAATTTTTCCTCAGTACATATACATTACAATTCTCTCGTAAGGATAATTCGTCTGGTTTATCGGCGCCGTAATCATACAGAGCGATAGATAAATATGACAGTGATAAACATAAAACTTCATGATCTATCAGAATCCCTTACTTTACAATTTTAATATCAATTACATGATGCTA